TCTGTCTGTCTGTCTGTCTGTCTGTCTGTCTGTCTGTCTGTCTGTCTCTCTGTCTCTCTGTCTATATCTCTATATCTCTATCTATATCTCTATATCTCTATCTATATCTCTATATCTCTATCTATCTCTATATCTCTATCTATCTCTATATCTCTATCTATCTCTATATCTCTATCTATCTCTATATCTCTATCTAATCTTAAAAATGTATTTTATTTTTTACAAATGAAAGCAGTTTGTAAAAGTTACTAAGTAAACTTTGAACAGATCAGCTGATTCTTCAAATGAATTAAATACAGTGGTGTTTTTTTGTATGTCTTTGTACGATAGAGCTTTAATAAGATTATGTGGATTACAGACAATAATTTGTGGAAGTGTTCCTGAAGCCGTGCGGTGATGTCCAGTCCAGGATCAGACCTTGCTGAGGTCCTATTGACTTTCAGCCTCGTCCTTTGTGCACAGAACTTTATACAGATTTTTGAAATCCTTTGATATTATGAACTTTAAATGAAGGGATATTCAAAGTTTCCTCCTTTTTTTTCCTTTGAGTAATAAATAACATGAAGTGGTTCCATTTTTAGACACATTTTTTTGCAAACTAATAAACCTCTGTCCATCTTTACTCTTGAGAGATCCATCCCCTTTAAACTGCTCTTTTTATATCCAGGCCTCTTCATGACCTGTTGCTAGTTAATTTAACTTGCTGCAAAATGCCCCTCCAGCTGTTTTTATTAATACAGTACCCAATGTATGTCCTTTTGTTGCTATTGCATAGTTTTTGAGACATGTTTTTGCCATAAAATTTAAAATTAACATTAAAATAAGGTACAATTTTCAAGCTTCAACATTTGATGTTTTCTATGATCCATTATGATTAAAATATGTTTCTTTAGATTTGAAAATCATTGCATTCTGTTTAAAATTGGGTTACAAATTGGCTTAGTTGCATATTCTTTCACCATTAGATTAGTTTTTTTTCAGTTTGCAAGCATACATACAGTAATATAAGAATTATCTTGACATCCTTTGGATTTCCCCCATGTTTAACTTTAACTTTCACTGAACTTTCCCCACTGTGCTAACTGATAACGCAGCAGAAGAATTCCTTTATTTGCCCAATGCCAGCTCTCAACAAAGCTCACCTTGTTGAGCACTTTACTTTCACTTTCAATTTGCATGCAAGAGCTGACAAACTTTTGGTGGGACAGAGATCACGCCATCGTTTTGCAAGAGTCAATATCGATGTCATTTTCTTGTAATATGGAAACAAAGCAGGTTGGAGCATGCTTTGATTTTTTTTAAATAAATGTTAGTGTGGGCCAAGGAGAGAAACGTTTATTCTGTATGGGCTTGCCTGTCCTGTCACATGCTTTACAAGAAATCACAACCAAATGATAAGCATGTTAACAGCTAATACACTACACTTTTATTGTTTTTTTTTCTTCAGTCATCTTAGACAATCCTGTGCAACACTAACAGTCCATAAAAATATAAAACATTATAGGTTGCACAGTATTTGTCTCCTGTTTTGAATATTCAAAGCTGAACAAAATGATTACAGTTGTTGACTTTTCTTGCACATTTTACTGCGTTACTTTATAAAAGCACAATTTTTGCATTTCTTGTAGCTTAATAATCAGTATTTGTGCATTTAGTTCAAGTGAGATGTGTTTGTTTTAGCCCGCGGACTCGTTTCCTGAAGCTTCCCAACAAAAACAGAGGCTAAAGTCTAGTGACCTTTTGTTTCCTGCCAAGAAGGGAATTATCCTCCTCTTCCTTTAATTATGATGAAACATCAAATGCTTGAGCCTAAAATGACACAATCACAGCATTGTTCTGGGATATTTATTAAAAAAAAAAAAACACGTTTTGGGATTTTCATATAAAAATAAATAACCAACAATGCTATACTAATACATGGTTTTCCAGCTGTTTTGACAGAACTACACATAAATAGTGCACAGACCACTTTACAGTGCTTTAAAACTTAACCTGTCACCATTTATGCCAAGCCTCCAGGGCTTAGTTTTTAGGAATAAAATAGTAATTTGCACATATACAAAAAAAAAAACAAAGCTTCCTGCTTCTTAGACATTTGCAGCTCAGACTCCATAATATCTGAGCTTCATAACATTTATAGAAAGGACAACAAGCCCACAATGCAACACGAATCAGTCTGTACACTCAGTGGCTTTATGCGACTCGTCAACCTGCAGAACTACTGGGAGTCGGAGGATAACGCCCTCCTGTTGTGACCCTGTGGCCTCTTTTGCTGCCTCTGGCGCCGACCACCCTTTCGTCTCCTCCTCTTAAGACACAGCTTCACATCACGATTCAACTTTGTAGCTCTAGAAGACATGTAAACAAAAGAACAAAATGAGCTCCCCAACACTTAAATTAAAACTTGAACATTTTTCCCATGATTAAAAAGTTGGATGTAATGCGCATGTGCTGACTACCTGCAGAAAAGATAAAGAAATTGCACAACTGCTCTGTTATTATAAGAACTGGCTTGACAATAAACAAGATCTCAGTGGTTTATGGGAAACTGGAGCTGGGTGGATCCCATCTAGAGTCGTGGGCATTTAAGGTAAATACATTGTCATTCAGAGCTTCAGTTTACATCTTGAAATGATACACAATCCCTTCCTAAACTATTATCAACCTAATAAATCCTGATAGAGATTAGCTTTCCAGGACAAACAGCTTTGCGCACCTACTGTTTCATTAACTGTTTTCTACTGAGATCCTCACCTATTCCAGCAGCGAATCAGCTGTTTGCCCATCTGCGCCTCTGGATCCAGGCAAACAGTTGCACTGTTCCTTTTTAGTGTTACTCTGAAAAGCACATAGGGACACATTTAGTCTAACTCGTCTGTTTGTGCATGATAAAGAATGCACATGTTTGCAGAAGCTGCTACTCACATGACAGTCACGTTGTTACAGGTGGCACTTTTTTGGTAGACTGTGAGCTCTTTCAGTTGTCCCCTGACACCTGACTGCGTCTGTGGGCACAAACATCTTCCTGGAACATAAGCTCCTTCTGACTCCCGCACTGCACAGACACAGTAACAAGATTACAGGTTAATTCAAGACGGAGCGACAGGAGCAAGGGTTCACTTCCTTCAAAACTCACATGCTCAGTGAGAAAACAACAATCCCCACTTGGATAATGTTCAAATAAAGATTAGTAAATTCTAACCTGCAGTCAGTACGCAGTAGAGGCTCAGGAAGGCGAAATGACAAACCACTTGATTAGGCTTCATGCTGGAGACATGTGGCACATTTGCTCTGAGCCTCTGAACCACATGCTGCTTTTTATATTGTTCTAATGCTCCTCCCCCAACAACTCAAGATGGATTTTCCAAAAAATCCAGGAATTTCCCGTGAGCGTGATCCTCTTCTGTTCAGGGACAGCCTTTTTCTTGTTTGACAAATTCATTATATCTTGAAGGACATAATTAATGTGTTTCTTTTGTTTTATACTGTTCAGCAGAAGAAAAGGCAATGCACATAACTCTACAAGGTTTCTTTTTCTTTTTTTTGTAAAACCAAGTTATATTTCTGTTTTAAAACGGACAGTGCCAATATAAAATATCCTTGGGTGAGACACAGACTCTGCCCTTTAGCCTTTGTTTGTTTGTTAAGCCAGTTGATAAAACTTTATACTCCTTTCACTCTGTTGGCTCTGTGTCAACAGCCTCATGCGATTTCACCTAATTTCCTGCACCTGCATACCAAACCAAATCAATAGCCTATATAATTTTTCTTTTGAATGAAATGTTTCGTTTCTTTCAGAGTGAAAATATGATGCTGTGAAGAATGTATACATTAATATGCATATTTTACTTGTAAAAAAACAAAACAAAAAAGGTCTTTAAACATTTTTTTTTTCCACTAAAACTCCATTTTGTGACTTGAAAGACTTTAATTTTGAAGGTTACATGCTTGCTGAATCTTCTTCTTACACCAAAGTTTGTCATGGAGTTCCTCAGGGCTCAATGCTTGGACCAATACTATTTACTTTATATATGCCTCCATTAAGTAAAGTTCTAAACAACGTGGGATTTTTCATCGTTATGCTGATGATACGCAGTTATATTTGTCCATGAAATCCATTGAATGCAATCAGTTACTTGGACTACAAGCATGTCTTAAAGAAATAAAAACATGGATGATCCTAAATTTTCTGCTTTTAAACTCAAACAAGACTGAGGTTTTAGTTTTTGGATCTGTGCATCATCCATCCATCCATCCATCCATCCATTATCTTTACCCGTTTATTCCATTTTGGGTCACGGGGGTCGCTGGTGCCCATGTCCAGCAATCACTGTGCGAGGGGCGGGGTACACCCTGGACGGGTCGCAAGTCCATCACAGGGACACATAGAGAAAAACGAGACAAACAACCATTCACTCTCTCACTCACACCTAGGGACAATTTAGAGTTATCAATCAGCCTAACATGCATGTTTTTGGTCTGTGGGAGGAAACCGGAGCACCCGGAGAAAACCCACACATGCACGGAGAGAACATGCAAACTCCACCCAGAAAGGCCCCTGGACCGTGGTTTGAACCAAGGACCTGCTCGCTGAGAGGCAGCAGCTCTACCAGTTGCGCCACCGTGCTGCCCTTCTGTGCATCATAAGAATGATTTTTGTTTTAGTCTTTCACCAACTCTAGATGGCATTAATCTGGCCTTCAGCACTAATTTTATAAGCCTTGGTGTTATTTTTGATCAGGACGTGTCTTTTAACCCCCGCATTAACACCATTACTATAACCACTTTTTTCCACCTGCGTAATATCTCTAAAATTAGAAACATCTTGTCTAAAAATGATGCAGAAAAATTGATTCATGCATTTATAACATCCAGGCTGGACTATTGCAATTGTTTGTTATCTGGGTGTCCAAAAACTTCTTTAAAAAGTCTTCAGTTAATCCAAAATGCTGCTGCCAGAGTTTTAATGAGAGTTGAGATCATATCTCTCCAGTTTTAGTTTCTCTCCATTGGCTCCCTGTCAAATTCAGAATAGAATTCAAAATCTTACTTTGAACCTACAAAGCCCTCAACAACCTAACTCCATCTTATATTCGAGATCTTTTTGTTCCATATTTTCCTAACAGAGCACTTCGCTCTCAGACTGCAGGCTTACTTGCAGTTTCTAGAGTTTCCAAAAGCAGAATGGGATGAAGGTCTTGTTGCATTTTAATTTGTATCAACGTGTGATTCTCGACCTGCCATTGTGTTTCCGTTCCTCCTTCCTGTCCTTTCAAATCTAGCCAGTTGAAACAGATGGCCGCTTGTCCTGAGCCTGGTTCTGCTAAATGTTTCTTCCTCATGAGGGAGTTTTTACTTTCTGCTGTCGCCTTCATGTTTGCTCAAGATGAGAGTTCTGCAATGAAGTTAAACTCAAAGCAGTCTGCTCCTCAGATAGTGTTAACATTTGTTTATATACAAAGTATATGTATATATGAAGGTTTCTGTTCAGTGCCCTGAGATGACTTCTTTTGTGACTTGGTGCTATATAAATAAACTGAACTGAGTTGAATTGAATAGTTTTTTCCTAATATTTTTGACATAAAGCACCAACCCTCTTCTGAGACTGATACTGTATATGTTTAATTTCTTTGGCCTATGTATTTTAAAATTTCCTCTTAAGTGTAACTTGATATATATAACTTGATATATATATATATATATATATATATA